ATTGCGAGTCGTCGCAACTTGGAATGCTCTCCCAGCCGAGGTGACCACAGCCACCTCCGTAGACTGCTTTAAGAAGAGACTTGATAATCACGTACTCACATATCGATTATCATCTCCCTCTTGGACAAGCTGTTCATGATGTATATCTTGAGACCTACTAGTTGTTATCATTGCCATCTATTCAGATCACTTACTTAATCTATCTCGTCTATTATCTTTGCTTCCTCTCCCTTGCTTACACTTCAGTCCTCTCTCACAAACTTCACTACCAATTAATAAACTAAATTCATCTATATATTACTCAGTTCTGAAATTTTACTCATATTATCATTTTAATTTACCCTTATTACTCTCCACATTGCAACTAACTGATCCCCGGTCTGTTAATGTGACGGCTGCTGATATCCAGAAACCCTACTGCCCTGAAACAAACGTTTTCATTCAAATCCCGAGACATGCAAACTCACAACCACCTGCCAACTGACAAGAAATAGACAGTCTCGTGGCTGGACCTCCATCCATTGGACACAACCAAACACGTGAAACCGTACCGAAAGAACAAGAATCGAGCGCAGAGAAATCAATTGGTTTATACTAGCCCGTGCAAAAGATGTTGGCTCAGAAACTACCTTCAGAATAGAAAGTTTCGCACCAAGGTAAACAGGGTGCAGGCGAGTTGGAGAGTATCCACTTTGGGGACCATCTTAGGCCCATCCCTCTTCCTGATATTCATTAACGACCTGCTAGGCTCAGTTAGCTCACCGGTATTGATCTACGCAGACGATGCGAAGATCTGGAGGTCCATTAGAAGCAAAGAGGATTCGACTGAGCTTCAAAAGGACCTTACATCCATTGAGAAATGGGCAGTGAAAAACGGTTTAAAACTCAACCAACCGAAGTGCCACGTCATGCATTTCCTGCCTCATATGACGCAAACCACCTACACTCTCAATGGAAGTCCGCTCCCTAATGTCTCCTCAGAGCGCGATCTTGGTTTAATAACCATAGAATGCCTCCACACGAGTCCGAACTATGTAGGGGATGCAGCCAAGGCAAATGCGACTCTTCACTTTATGCGAAGACAGCTTGGTGCTATAACCCCGAAATTATTTTTAACCCTGTTTAAGACGTACGCGCGCCCACACTTGGAGGTTCACAACGTCATCGCACCCCCTCTGTTTAAAAGAGGCGTAAATCTCTTGGGTCGAGTGCAGAGACGAACAACCAAATGGGTGATTGGGTTAAAAAATAAACCCTATGACGATAGACTCCAGCTCTTGGGATTATTTCCAGTGAGCTACAGGAGAATCAGAGGCGATCTGATTATGGCGTACCCTATATTTACCACGCCAAACCATCCCAATGTCAGCATCTTACCGATGCATCACCACCACTCCCCTCGAGGCAATCCTCGAAAGATCGCACGCTAAAGGGCGAATACTCAGATTCGTGCACACTTTTTCTCATTGCGAGTCGTCGCAACTTGGAATGCTCTCCCAGCCGAGGTGACCACAGCCACCTCCGTAGACTGCTTTAAGAAGAGACTTGATAATCACGTACTCACATATCGATTATCATCTCCCTCTTGGACAAGCTGTTCATGATGTATATCTTGAGACCTACTAGTTGTTATCATTGCCATCTATTCAGATCACTTACTTAATCTATCTCGTCTATTATCTTTGCTTCCTCTCCCTTGCTTACACTTCAGTCCTCTCTCACAAACTTCACTACCAATTAATAAACTAAATTCATCTATATATTACTCAGTTCTGAAATTTTACTCATATTATCATTTTAATTTACCCTTATTACTCTCCACATTGCAACTAACTGATACCCGGTCTGTTAATGTGACGGCTGCTGATATCCAGAAACCCTACTGCCCTGAAACAAACGTTTTCATTCAAATCCCGAGACATGCAAACTCACAACCACCTGCCAACTGACAAGAAATAGACAGTCTCGTGGCTGGACGTCCATCCATTGGACACAACCAAACACGTGAAACCGTACCGAAAGAACAAGAATCGAGCGCAGAGAAATCAATTGGTTTATACTAGCCCGTGCAAAAGATCTTGGCTCAGAAACTACCTTCAGAATAGAAAGTTTCGCACCAAGGTAAACAGGGTGCACGCGAGTTGGAGAGTATCCACTTCAGGAGTTTCACAGGGGACCATCCTAGGCCCACTCCTCTTCCTGATATTTATTAACGACCTGCTAGGCTTAGTTAGCTCACCGGCATTGATCTACGCAGACGATGCGAAGATCTGGAGGTCCATTAGAAGCAAAGAGGATTCGACTGAGCTTCAAAAGGACCTTACATCCATTGAGAAATGGGCAGTGAAAAACGGTTTAAAACTCAAACAACCGAAGTGCCACGCCATGCACTTAGTGCCTCATATGACGCAAACCACCTACACTCTCAATGGAAGTCCGTTCCCTAATTTCTCCTCAGAGCGCGATCTTGGTTTAATAACCATAGAATGCCTCCACACCAGTCCGAACTATGTAGGGGATGCAGCCACGGCAAATGAGACTCTTCACTTTATGCGAAGACAGCTTGGTGCTATAACCCCGAAATTATTTTTAACCCTGTTTAAGATATACGCGCGCCCACACTTGGAGGTTCACAACGTCATCGCACCCCCTCTGCTTAAAAGAGACGTAAATCTCTTGGGTCGAGTGCAGAGACGAACAACCAAATGGGTGATTGGGTTAAAAAATAAACCCTATGACGATAGACTCCAGCTCTTGGGATTATTTCCAGTGAGCTACAGGAGAATCAGAGGCGATCTGATTATGGCGTACCCTATATTTACCACGCCAAACCATCCCAATGTCAGCATCTTACCGATGCATCACCACCACTCCCCTCGAGGCAATCCTCGAAAGATCGCACGCTAAAGGGCGAATACTCAGATTCGTGCACACTTTTTCTCATTGCGAGTCGTCGCAACTTGGAATGCTCTCCCAGCCGAGGTGACCACAGCCACCTCCGTAGACTGCTTTAAGAAGAGACTTGATAATCACGTACTCACATATCGATTATCATCTCCCTCTTGGACAAGCTGTTCATGATGTATATCTTGAGACCTACTAGTTGTTATCATTGCCATCTATTCAGATCACTTACTTAATCTATCTCGTCTATTATCTTTGCTTCCTCTCCCTTGCTTACACTTCAGTCCTCTCTCACAAACTTCACTACCAATTAATAAACTAAATTCATCTATATATTACTCAGTTCTGAAATTTTACTCATATTATCATTTTAATTTACCCTTATTACTCTCCACATTGCAACTAACTGATACCCGGTCTGTTAATGTGACGGCTGCTGATATCCAGAAACCCTACTGCCCTGAAACAAACGTTTTCATTCAAATCCCGAGACATGCAAACTCACAACCACCTGCCAACTGACAAGAAATAGACAGTCTCGTGGCTGGACCTCCATCCATTGGACACAACCAAACACGTGAAACCGTACTGAAAGAACAAGAATCGAGCGCAGAGAAATCAATTGGTTTATACTAGCCCGTGCAAAAGATGTTGGCTCAGAAACTACCTTCAGAATAGAAAGTTTCGCACCAAGGTAAACAGGGTGCAGGCGAGTTGGAGAGTATCCACTTTAGGAGTTTCACAGGGGACCATCCTAGGCCCACTCCTCTTCCTGATATTTATTAACCACCTGCTACGCTTAGTTAGCTCACCGGCATTGATCTACGCAGACGATGCGAAGATCTGGAGGTCCATTAGAAGCAAAGAGGATTCGACTGAGCTTCAAAAGGACCTTACATCCATTGAGAAATGGGCAGTGAAAAACGGTTTAAAACTCAACCAACCGAAGTGCCACGTCATGCATTTCCTGCCTCATATGACGCAAACCACCTACACTCTCAATGGAAGTCCGCTCCCTAATGTCTCCTCAGAGCGCGATCTTGGTTTAATAACCACAGAAAGCCTCCACACGAGTCCGAACTATGTAGGGGATGCAGCCAAGGCAAATACGACTCTTCACTTTATGCAAAGACAGCTTGGTGCTATAACCCCGAAATTATTTTTAACCCTGTTTAAGACGTACGCGCGCCCACACTTGGAGGTTCACAACGTCATCGCACCCTCTCTGTTTAAAAGAGGCGTAAATCTCTTGGGTCGAGTGCAGAGACGAACAACCAAATGGGTGATTGGGTTAAAAAATAAACCCTATGACGATAGACTCCAGCTCTTGGGATTATTTCCAGTGAGCTACAGGAGAATCAGAGGCGATCTGATTATGGCGTACCCTATATTTACCACGCCAAACCATCCCAATGTCAGCATCTTACCGATGCATCACCACCACTCCCCTCGAGGCAATCCTCGAAAGATCGCACGCTAAAGGGCGAATACTCAGATTCGTGCACACTTTTTCTCATTGCGAGTCGTCGCAACTTGGAATGCTCTCCCAGCCGAGGTGACCACAGCCACCTCCGTAGACTGCTTTAAGAAGAGACTTGATAATCACGTACTCACATATCGATTATCATCTCCCTCTTGGACAAGCTGTTCATGATGTATATCTTGAGACCTACTAGTTGTTATCATTGCCATCTATTCAGATCACTTACTTAATCTATCTCGTCTATTATCTTTGCTTCCTCTCCCTTGCTTACACTTCAGTCCTCTCTCACAAACTTCACTACCAATTAATAAACTAAATTCATCTATATATTACTCAGTTCTGAAATTTTACTCATATTATCATTTTAATTTACCCTTATTACTCTCCACATTGCAACTAACTGATCTCCGGTTTGGTAATGTGACGGCTGCTGATATCCAGAAACCCTACTGCCCTGAAACAAACGTTTTCATTCAAATCCCGAGACATACAAACTCACAACCAACTGCCAACTGACTAGAATTAGACAGTCAAGTGGCTAGACCTCCATCCATTGGATATTACCGAACACCTGGAACCGTACCGAAAGAACAAGAATCGAGCGCGAAGAAATCAAATTGGTTTACACTAGCTCGTGCAAAAGATATTGGATATTGGATATTGGATTGCCGGTATCTCCCTCAACTTTGTCCGTTACAAAATGCTTTTCCAAAAGTCATTAACATGTGACTTTGATGATATTAAGTCTGAAGAGGTTCTTGTCCTTTCTCCTATTTTGTATCAGTCTGGTGACTTAAGGCAATGCGTTTCAGAACTTTCAATGACACCTGATCGATATCATATAATAAGCAATCTAATCAACATTTTAGATTCCTTCAGAAGTCTAAGATTATCTGTTCTGTGGGAAGAAACATGCTCTGAATATTCACTGTCGTAAGCGAATTTTTTTTACCAAATCTTGACATGTAGCTACACGTCTTTTCCCTCGTTAACACTAAATTACGAGTCACAAAATGCATTAGGGAGGTTAAAAACGCTCATGCTACTCATCGTTCATTTATGCAAGGACGTAAGTTTATTTAAGTATATTGGTCCTAGTTTTCCAGAAGCCGGACTCAAAGTGCACGTCAGAAGGCTGTTGTGAACTCATAGAAACTGAAGCTCTTGAAACTGAGGTTTCTATCATATTGTGCTTCATATTTCATGGTTAGTTTATGTGGGTATCAAATTTAACTTCAAGGACTTTCAAATTATCATTTACTTGGAAAGTTTTTCTGTGGTTATTTGGCTCATTGCAATAATCCCAATCACACTATTTTGATGAGGCTGGCAGTTAACTTACCCTCTGATTGGTGGCCTATAGTTCACGAATTATGGAAGCTGGGGAAGTCTATTACTTCCAAGTATGTCGTTAAACTGCTCTTCACCATATTATAGATCTTGTAATCATAGTGGGGACTCGCAAAATAAAGAATGGAGTCAGCGACTTCTGGATTCCGACTCGGATGTTGGGGCTAATTTAGACCCATTTTCATTGTCATGTCGTGTTCAAATGGTTTTATTTTACCTAGTGAAATTAAATCCACGCGATGCCATTACAGTGATCGAGAATTGTGTGAGTTTTTATGTTATTTAGCGTACAGTCCATCATTTATGAAATAAAAACTAGGACATTATGATGAATCTAGTTTGTGATTACAAAATAAGTGTTAAAACTCAAATTACACAAGAGGCAGCATTGTCTAAGCAAAGCCAGTAAAGAATGTCATATCTCAAACGCATCTTTCCAGCTTATTAAAAACATAGCTCATTGACCCATCAGTCAGTCAGCCAGTCAGTTACATTGCAGAACTTCGTACGTACGTACATAAGTTCAGGTTGGCATACCACATTAGAACAGAAACGCCATTGTCAGTTCAATTGCCATGGTGGTACAGGTAGTAGGAGTATGAGCGGTAATAGAGAAGATTAGGGCTCAAAGATATTATTGGAGAAGTACGATTCAGTGAAATAAATTTAGAAAGAAAGAGATGTAGGTGATGAACAATTCAAAAGACTAGAATTTCAGAGAACCCAAAGAGTGGATTCACCTGAGATATTGCAAATGATTTTGAGCCGTCTTTCAAGGTCTCTAACCATCAGTTAGTATCGTCTTGAGGACCCCGACCAGGTAGTTGACATCTGGTTGACCCTAATCTTTATTACCCCTATTACATGTACCACCATGGCAATTGAACTGACAATGGCGTTTCTGTTCTAATGTGGTATGCCAACCTGAACTTATGTACGTACGTACGAAGTTCTACATTGTAATTGTCTGGCTGACTGACTGACTTCCTTACTGCTTAGTATCTATCACAATGTGACTTGTGTTGTTTTATATATAATGTATTTTTTAGCGACTAGCATTATCATACAATTTCGGAAACTTTATGCGTCACTGCGATTTCGATTTTTGATCATGGTTTCGGAACCTAATTTCATACTGTTCATCTAGTACCTGGCCTAAGACATTTATATCTCTGCAAATGTATTAGCTATGTCTTCGCTAGCATTTGATATAAAATTACCCCCCCCCCTCAACTTTTAATGCGCCGTTCAATACATTGTAAGTTGATATTTATTGTTGACTTTGCATCGAGTCTCATTACTTTTGCATCTTTGTAGAAAAATATTTACAAGAAACTTATGTGATTGCATATACTTTTTATTTTCAGATTGCTACCCGTCAGTTTCCAGGCTTAGTTCTAGACTTACTTTTCGGGCTGATCAATGAGGATGGTTATATCTTAAATTTTCTGAGAAGGATTTTGCTAGATAGTGGACGGGACATCCGATTTTGGATGAGCAGCTTTCTGAAATTGCCAGTGAGTTTCTCTGATGTTCTTACTCTATATTCTTCGCATTACACATATTTCGTCGTGCTACCATATGTGGTTAATTGTTCTTGCATTTGATGAATCATTAAAGTGAAGACGAACTCTTTAGTTGTTAATATTTTGTTGATTTTGAAGTAGAGTTTAGTCCAGACAAAATTAGTTGTCTTTTGTTCGTATGAAGTTGTTGGAAGAGTTTGCACCGATCAGAATTTGTACGAAACAATAATTTTCATATAAAAACGAAACATTAATTGATAATTTTTAGGTTTATATACAGTTCATCATTGAGGAAAATGCTCATTTTGAGTTGTACTGGTGCATTCAAGTAACGTCCATCAGTGAAAGGATTTCAGATAGACTGACTGACAGATACAACGCAGAGCTTTATACGTAAGTACATCAGTTCAGGTCGCCATACCACATCAGCACAGAGACGCAACTGTCTGTTCAAATCCAAGAGTGATAGCGATAGTAGAAGTATTGGCAGTAATGGAAAAGATTATAGTTCAAAGATATGATTCGATAAGTATAATTCAGTGAGATAAATTTAGAAGGAGTAAGGTAGAGATGATGAGGAATTCAGAAGGTTAGAATTTGAGAGAACACAAAGAGTGGATGCACCTGAGCCATTGCAAAGGATTCTGAACCATGTCGTTCAACGTCTCTAACCATTGGTGACTATCGTGTCGCGGACCCCAACCAGGTAGCCTACATCTATCAACATGACTCAGTCCACTTAACAGTGACTTCATGGATTTCTGCCATATTTTGATTTGACCGCCCATACCTTTCTTCCAACCTACTCCTACACTACAAAACCAAGCTCGTCGCGGCAGTCGGTGGTTAGGCACACGTAACACATGTCCTAACCACCTCAACTGATGAAGCTTCACTACTTCATATACCGAGAACTCGTTTCCTAACAACAGCATTGCTTATACGGTTGTCCCAGGATACACGAGCTATGCTTCGGAGACACCCATGATCGAAGACTAGTAACCTACGAAAGTCCTCTACCTCTAACGGCCATGTTTCAAAGCCACACAGTAGGACGGAGCGAACTGCTGCACGGTACACTCGTCCTTTGGTTAGCAGACGGATATCTCACCTACGCCATAGTTGACGCAGGTTGGCAAAAGACAATCGAGCCTTCCGTATCCGAGCTGAGATTTTGTCAGTCACCAGGCCATCAGTACTGATGAAACTCCCCAGATAAGTGAAGCGGTCAACACGTTCGACTACTTCACTCCCTATCACTAGTTCAGGTGCCGATGCAACCCAATCTTGAAGCAACATTTTGCATTTCGAGTGTGAGAACCGCATCCCGAACATGCTTGTATTGTTGCTTAGGGTAGTCAGAAGACTCTGCATCTTGTCAGCGTCTTCACCGAATAGAACTACCTAAGATCTCAGTCAACCTAGCTGCTAAAGCTGGGTCACCATCCTTAAATATCTCAGGGGTCAGTCTATCAAGACCTGAAGTTCGGCCTCGCTTCAGATTTCCTAACGCTTTCTCAACTTCATAAAGACTAGGGTGCCTACGTCGACTTGCCATTCAGGATGACTAGAGATCGTGGGCAACCGAAGTGTAACAGAAGGCCAGTCGAACTGATCTTTAAAGTGTTCTGCCCATCGGTCCAGTCTCCTGGATTGAGAATAAATAATAGTCCCATCCTTTTCCGAGATAGTCGCACTTACAGTAGGATTCCTAATACCAGTTTCCTTGATAAGTCGGAAAAGTTGTCTACTGTTGCCTATTGCCGCTGCCTTTCCTATCGCTTTTGCTTTCGCCACCCACCACTGTTCACGGTCATTGCGTAGGCTTTTTATCAGCCTGCGCCTAAGCTGACTTCGTTCTTCATCGTGTTCAGAGCCAGGTGGGATGAGTTTTCGGGCACCCATCAGATCGGTGGATGCTACTGAGATCCACGGCTTCATTCTAGCCTTATGGTTAACCTTACTAGCAGATATCACTGCTGTTTCCACAGCCTTTTTGATATCATTCCAAGCTGCTTCCGGATGGGAATCGCTTACATGATTGCCTAACTCTTTCTAGTTGCCCCTGAAATATATTCTTAGCTTTATTATCATTAAGTAAAACCCTAACAGGCTTCCTTAAGGTATCTTTCCTACGTCCAGTAAGCCTCAAACAAATACGCGCTCGCACTAGGGCATGATCTGAATCTAAACATGTGCCCCAGAACGAGCGACAGTCCTCTGTCGAACCCCTCCGTCGGTGGCTGATGGCAATGTGATCTTGTTGGGTCCAACGTTGGACGACTTCGGGGGTCGCCAGGTCAAAAGATGTTCTTCCTTATGCCTAAAGTTAGTGTTTGCTAGAAATAGGCGGTTATCTGAGCATAGTTGCAACAGACGGTCGCCATTGTCTGTTCTCTGAGCCGCGACACCATAACATCCACCAAGGTGTCTCTCCTGCTAACTCAGTCTACCTACTTGAGCATTAAAGTCACCAGGCATTATTACTACATCGGAGCGCCTAGCTTTTTGGAGGAGGTTCGAAAGCTTTCTGTAGAACTTATTTTTCACCTCGTCTGAACTGCAGTCAGTGGGGACATAGGCAGATACGATGAAGAGGCAACAACGAGTGTCCCTATCTTTACAAGTCCTTACTGTCCCGTTCAGTCGGACAGCACACAAGCGACTGTCTACAGGGATTCAGTCTGGGAGAGATAGTTCTACCCTACGACTCAATGCTATACCTACACCAGCAAGACCTCTGGAAGCAGCGTTGGGGCTTCCAGATACACGAGGAGTAAATCGGGAAGCTTCATTGTTTTGACAAGGAGAAATCAAATTAATGACTTTATTCGGATCTTGTATGCGCGTTTCCGAGACTGAGCATACAACGATTGAGCTAGATTCTAATGTCCTTGCTAAGGAAGCCTGTTGCCCTATTTGACAGTGTCCTTACATTAAAAGCCCCATTATATAGTTTAGAACGGGGTTTTAAGAGACCAGGAATGACATTTCGTGAACTCGCATCGTTTGCATTAGTGGTGCAGTGAGATAAAGGAATGTGAGGAAAGTTAGTCATGGAGATAAGAGAGGTATTTGGGGGTGTAAAAAGGATTTGATTTTGACCAATTCGGTCTCATGTGCCGTTACAGGTATGGGGGCGGTTGTCACTTCCCGGCTGCCCACACCGTGGAAGGTTGTTTCTTGAGGAACCTGGAAAAGAAGGTAGATTAGTGACGGTCTTAGGGGCCTGGGAGCGTGACGGCAGAGCCCATGGGACAACGCACGGCCTTTTTATGAAAGAATTTTTGAGTATTAGCTCCGCTCTTGAAAGCCCTTAGTGGGCACTCTTACCGACGAAGACGGAAATCCGTGGGGTAAGATGAGGTGTGACATTTCTCGGGTCGACTATTTCTAATCCTTCCTTCCTTCCTTGTGAGAAGGCAGCATCGCTGCAGATGCTGGTCGTCCGAGGGAAGCACCTCACTGCTGTCACACCCCCCCATCATAGTCAGCAGTGCGACTTCGCCCTCAGACCTTGAGTAGCTGCTTTTAGTCTCGTCGTTCTCCAATCGACCTGCTTGGCATGATAAAACCTTCAGGAACATATGTTCCAGCCAATATAGCTCGGTTGGGTCATCACGATAGGCAAGCTCGACCACCACGTCAAGGTCGGGGAAAGGATTTCTTGTTGATGCAGCTGATTTGTTTTTTAGTGACTAGAAGATTTTCAGTCTCGAAATTCCAAGCAAAATAGATGATTGCATTAGATAAGAATATCGCAAATGAACTTGAATGGTTTGGTTTTAAAGTCCATTTAGGGATAAATGTTTTCACCGTCAAATTTAACAGAAGGATTGGTTAATAGGATAGAATTAAAGCTACTTTAATGAAATTGGGTAAAGGCTTATGAATAATATATCATTTTGGTAGAAAAAGAAGTCATTATAAGGCAGTTTTAGTGCAATGTGTTAGGATATTCATCCTATATCCTAAGAGAATTATTGGTCAATTCCTATTGGTTAATTCCTACTGGTTAATTTTATGGTCGTCCTATATATCAATGTCATGTGCTCCGATGTTGTTCCTTATTGGTTGTCCTGACTATCAATGTCACTTCAAATGTTGCTTCTTGTTGGTCGTCTCAACTGTCAATGTCACAGAGTTCAATGCTGTTCCTATTCGACCGAAATGTATAGGTACGCTTTGTCTGTAACATTTTATGACCAGGACCAGAACCTAGACCCGTATCCCTAGTCCGAGATTCTGATTACCTTCTGGAATCGGACATCGTACTTTCTGGATGCTTGTAGAATACAGGTTCTACTCCACATTCAAGTCTTCTTATTTTCACTCAATATTGCTGTTGGGAAAATCGGATTTGAGTAGCATGTTGTGTCGCCGGATCCTCGCTCTCGTATTCCTACTAGGCAAACTCGTAATAGTTCAAGCATAACAAGTTGACGTGCCTGCATGCAGGCGTAACGAATGTAAGTGTATTCATTTCTGAAACTCTCCATATTGTATTTATTTGACGGTCTTTTACTATGCAACCTGTCTATGTATCCGTAGATTTAAACATGGTGTCTTGCAATAATCCTTTTTAGTCTTCTTCATGGTACTTGGATAAGCTAAGTCATCATTTTATAAACGTCACTTCAAGTCTTACACCACGTGATTCTACAATTCCTTTGGACGATAGCATGATTCTTACTGCATTAACATTACTTCGTGTGTTAGCTGCATTTCGTGGATTTGTAAATTACAAGTAAGATATTTCTCCCTTTCTGCTGTTATCGTTTATGATTCATGGCTTGATTGATTTGATAAGGAATAAATGTTTGTTTGGTTCAGGCACACTTGATGGGTTTTACTAATACATTTTCCATAGGCTATTTATTTAGATAAAACAAACATACTACCTAATGGTTCCTAGTAGTATAACTTTGTTTGTTAAAAACCCAAGTTTCGTTTTTGGTTCGCGCAATAGTTTTTGAAGTGCTTTTGCTGATAAATAGTTTTTGATACGTACATTGTTTTCTAATATTCATTTGAAAAACCTTCCATACTTTGGATATGCTTGGTTCTTCGATGAGCTATATTCTGTTCCGATACAAGTTGCTTCTTACTGAAAAGCCGTTAATACTATTACAGTTTTCAGAACAAAATAATTACAGCAAATAAATATTTTATTTTAATTAGCGTTGGATCATGTTCTTACACTGAAATATGCATATATATATATATATATATATATATAAATGAACTTGAAACTAGTCAAGTGATAATGTTATATAACGGTTATCAAAATGGTGTTGAGTATTTGTTCAAGTAATTAAAATAGGGGGGCATGTGGTATTTGTAACATTTAAAGTAACTATTCGTTAATAAGTCGAAGGAGCAATATCTTCACACGAATCTGGACTTTAAAACTGATCAAACATTCAATATATTTGTAGCATTTTGTACTCTCAGTAATTAAGAGAACACCTTGTACTAAAAATCTGTGATTAACTTTAATAACCAAAAGCCTATTTTCCGTATCTGTGATATGTAAGCTCCTCCATGTGTACCTACTAGTTTAATTATAGAGCAAGGTATTTGAACCATAGTCGAAAACACCCTTTCAATGTGGATAAGAGGGTATCTTCCAGTTTGGTTGTACAAAGGTGAATGAAATGGGGTTAGAATCTTTATCTTTGAGTAATCGGTCGACTTGAATTACTCAGCTAACTCACATGCTGATTTTAAGATTACATATATAATCTGTGAGAATTTACCAATATCTGGTCGTATGCAGCACCTTAAGAAGCTTTTTTCATCTATGAAACGAAGCCTAACATGTGTTCAAAAGAAGTGTTTGATCTTTGTCTGTACCATGACTTTGACCTAAGAGTAAAATTAATAATTTTATTTAGTTCTGTAATTCTGCTAATGTACTTTGTTAAGTATAATGTTTGCGGAATATATTCATAAATTTTGTTTCTGTCAGTTTATTACGGAACATCTTGGAGGTTTTAATAAATCAAATTAGAATGGATAAGAACAGAGTAAATTTTACTATAGAACGTGTTTTCTTATATACAAATACTGACGTATGTTAGTGTTTGCAATAACATTGAACTTTTTCCAAAATGAACTCTTTTCATGTTGAATATCACTCATTATTTCATCTGAAGTCAATTAATCAATAGTTAGCTGGGTCGAAAAACTTGATATTCTTATGTGATTTATCGAAATAGTTACACCGTTGTAACTTTTAATCTATATTCCGTGTATACCCCATTTTATGTTCCCAGCTGTTGTAAAAGAGCTGATAGTACTAGTCGGCAGATTAAATGTTAGATATATTTGAACCATTGATAAAATGGTCTCATTACCAAGTCATGGTATTGAACACAATCAATCAATCTTGATAGACATGATTTTAAGCATAACAAAGGGAACTTTAAAAATTATTTTTTTGAGTGTTGTAAACTTCCTCGCATTTTCAATTTCTAAAAACTTCGAAATTGATTTCATGCTGAAATTGATTTGAATACATTTTATTTGTCATAATAAATAAATTGTCATTATCCGAAGTACTTTTTCTTTCTGTAAATTTATTACAGTTTTCCACCAGAACTGTCACAAAAGCTATTGGTTCTTCTTACACATCGAACGATTGTTTCTGAACGTGGTTTACAATATATTAGTTATTCGCTTGCATTCATGATTGGATTACGTTCAAGTCTGGCAACAGTGTATGTTATTTATTTATAATTTAATACGAATTCTCGTCTCGTTATAATAACGATTTCAAACAAATCATGTCACTAGGAGAACGGTCATTTAACTGAACATCATGCAACAAATGATAACTTTTTATTAGACTGTTATCTTTTATTCTGAGTAGTTGATTTTGGTTCATTCGAAGACTTGCATCGCTAATGGAAATTTTCATATTGAACTGTAGCTCTACATCTGGGTGATGTCTAGGAGTTTAGGATTAGATTGTAAGAGAGTCAGGATGATTCATAGTGTCATTGAATCCTGCTTTGAGTTGTGTAGGTGTGAGCAGGTTGACTTTCTAGTTGGGATCCACCCGACTTTCGTGATGAATGATTGAATGCGTTGGGTAATGTGGCTTAAAATCGATCTCAATAGCCAGATGCATTCTCGTTTTGGCTCCCCTTAATTTGTTTGTTTTAAAACTATCATAAACTTGGTACCATGAATTAATTCTTATCAAATCAATTTGTCGATATATAATCTTTTCTACCTTTATTGGTACTATAACTACTTCTGTTAATCTGAGATTCGCATCAAAAATGTCATCTCACTGTGCTAATATCGGTTTAACAACTTGGCAATGTATATCTATGCTAGGTTCTACATTACTTATGTTGGACAGTAGGTTACATATTAACAAGCTGTAATATCCGTGCTCCTAGTGTTTTTGAATGGGAATGGGAAGAACTTTAATTCTTATGTTGCAAACCAAAAACGCAAAGCCTAGTAAAAATTAGGATTTATTGACTGTCGAAAATCATGTCTCCAAACAAGTCCCAAAATCACGTCGTTATTAGACCGAAATACAATCATTTATATACTAATTTTTAGTTATCTAATAATGTCATGAATAGAAAAAGTACGTAGAATTCCTGTAAAAACACACTCTAATTATAGTTCACTTGCATTAATACAAGGAGTATAGTTGTCATAATGAACAAAAAATTAACATTTGTGGAAGAAGTACTAACCTTAAAACACCACGCAGAACGAAAGTGTTCGGATTTATTAACGTGACTGAAATTTTTATGATGAATTCAATACGAAAAATATTGACCTAAACAATGTCATATATATATATATATATATATATATATATATATATATATATATATATATATATATATATATTTATCATATCAAAACACAATATATCTTATTTTTAATGATAACGTGTTCGTTTTCTTTGATTCTACTTAGAAATATTAATTTTGTTGTCATATTCAATCTAACCTTAACCTTTAAATGACTTTATCTTATTGCTTATAGAATACCTTCAGATACCAACGGTGTTATGCATAACAACAGTTGTATTCCTGTAACTACAACAGATATCGAACATACGATTGTTGATTGGCTTCAACGTTTAATAGATGAACAAGATATTTTCAATTCATTAGCTCAGTCGTCATCATCATCGTTATCTTATCTGCGTAGTTTTAACCAATTTCCAAAAACATCATCCTACATTGAACCTTTACTACTTTTAGTCATTTTATTTCATACAAATCAACCTGGACCAATCACTGAATTAATATCAAATTTACTTGGTCTACGTATTCCATCGCTTGGACGAACTATCAATGGATGGCGTAAATTATTTTTTCAAACTGTTTTTACAGAGAATGTAAGTTTTGCCTGAATAATAATAATGATAATGTGTCAACAATTTATACATATTGTTGTATAAAGAAACTATTTATTTATTCAATACACTAGGTGGTTATTCGTTGATACTTAACTAGCTTACAAAAATAAATATGAATAACATTAAAATAAGTGTATAGTTATTGCAAAACTTACGTCTTAACACATGACTATGTTTCTTGTTTTATTTATTTTTTGATCTGGAAACTGTAAATCACTAGATTATAATATGTCTAAGAATATATTGTGGCGAAAAATATTTGTCATCTGTATCAAACTATTGATTATGCACAGTTATTTACTATAGTGATTAAAATAGTTAATATATATAAAATAGATATTGTCATCAATATGAGAAACATAATTTGATCTGATGATTATTAATGCAATTTAAATCCAATTTTAAGTCAACATTGACTGTGATTAGAGACAGCTATTTAGTGGCGGTTGTTGTCCAACTAAGAAATTTTCATAATCTCCTTAACACCATTTTCTGAAGGACCTAATTTCATCGTCCTACCAAATTCACCCCACTGATTTTAGTCATTTTGAATTTTTGCTTTTACATAATTAAAAAATTCACTAGCTGATAATTTCAGATCTTTTATTTAGTCGGCTAGTAAAATCAAAGAAAGTTTTATTTTATTTTTTCTGGTTTACACGAATCATTAAGAAGTATCTACACTTGAGAAAAACTGACTAGAGAAATATCTATTTTTGCATCTCCAAAGTCCCTCATTCAAGTATCTTACCACTGAGCTATGTGACCTGTAATTGACCATTATATATATATATATATATATATATATATATACATATATATATATATATATATATATATATAAACTAATGTAATAAATCACTTGCATGATGGCTTATCGATGATATATGATTTTGTTTAGTAGTTTTTTAAATGATACTCCATTCTTATGTTTTCGAAAAAAAAACAATTACAGATGATTGCCAATCAAGTTGCACGAATTCCAATTACGCCAAAATTAAGTCGACATCTAGTTGGTCATTTGCCGACTCAATGTATGCTACAACTACTAAAATCACATGCATTTGCCAAAAATAAACTACATACTAAAGTAAGATAGACTTATATATCGTTTTTGTACATTTATGTTTCTATTTTGTAATATATTTTCTTAAACAAAACAAAACAAAAAAGCAAGACAATTAGGGCATTCGTAATGTCTGTATGAAATTGATGTTGATGAAAATTGATAATTGTTTTGTTTTTTTTCATTTTTTTACAGATCGACTGATTATACTTAGGTTCATTGAATATGGATAATGGTGAACTTACGTGATATAATGAATAGCTCGTATAATTTATGAATAAATTTCGATCTGCTCTCTCTCTGAAGCAAGAGAGAGCAGCAGGTCCTGATAGGTTGACTCCTGAGATTTTTAAGGATGGTGGTCCAGCTTTAGCAGCTAGATTGACTGCAATCTTAGGTAGAATTTGAGGACTGGACACAATCCCATCCGACTGGTCTCAATCCCTGATTGTCCCAATTTATAGGGAAGGACAAAAGTCTTCTTGTGACAATTACAGGGGAATCAGTCTAACTAATATAGTTTCTAAATTGTTAGCCTCGATTATACCTAGACGCCTAACTAGAGCACGTGAAGAGCAGACTAGAGTAAACCAGGGTGGTTTCAGAACTGGATGTGGCTACATAGACCACATCTTCACACTACGACAGGTCCTGGAACATAGACACACATTTGAGCGTCCGACAATAGTTGTCTTCCTGGACCTTAAGGCGTCATTTGACTTTGTGGATCGTGAGGTTCTGTGGCAGTGTCTGTCATTAAAAGGCGTACCAAAGAAGAACATTACCCTAATATAAAAGCTCTCTACTCGAAAACCACTCGTCGAGTGAGAGCTTATGGCGAACTGTCATTGGAATTCTTTACTTCAAATGGTGTCCGTCAGTGATGTCCACTTTCTCCATTCCTATTAAATTTTTATCATAGACATGCTCCTAGATACAACCTTATCCTCGTCTGAATTTTCAGGAGTCGACTTTCTACCAGGAGTCACGCTTGCTGCCTTAATATATGCCGATGACATAGTCCTACTTGGTGAAGACGCTGTCAAGGTGCAGAGTCTTCTGACTACCCTAAGCAACAATACAAGCATGTTCGGGATGCGGTTCTCACACTCGAAATGCAAAATGTTGCTTCAAGATTGGGTTGCATCGGCACCTGAACTAGTGATAGGGAGTGAAGTAGTCGAACGTGTTGACCGCTTCACTTATCTGGGGAGTTTCATCAGTACTGATGGCCTGGTGACTGACAAAATCTCAGCTCGGATACGGAAGGCTCGATTGTCTTTTGCCAACCTGCGTCAACTATGGCGTAGGTGAGATATCCGTCTGCTAACCAAAGGACGAGTGTACCGTGCAGCAGTTCGCTCCGTCCTACTGTGTGGCTTTGAAACATGGCCGTTAGAGGTAGAGGACTTTCGTAGGTTACTAGTCTTCGATCATGGGTGTCTCCGAAGCATAGCTCGTGTATCCTGGGACAACCGTATAAGCAATGCTGTTGTTAGGAAACGAGTTCTCGGTATATGAAGTAGTGAAGCTTCATCAGTTGAGGTGGTTAGGAAATCCGGCCTGTTGATCTCGAAGTTGGGTGAGATAAACGCATTAGGTTGTTGACCAATGCTATTGTTAGTCTACATTTTTAGTCTATTATATTTGCGCGTATTGTATGTCGATAAAAGTTCAACCGTTCAAAAGTGAGGAAAGTATATTTTTTCTAAAAGCATCCCTATGATAAAGTTGAATAAAAATGAGCACTGTGGGCAGCTTGGACAGAAGTACTTGAGGTTGTCAGTCCTCATGAAAATTCACTGTAATCTTTAGTCCAGCCTATATCTGATCAACGGTGTACTCACTTTCACTTAAATTACCAAGTCATTTCAGTATTCAAGATATTTGTATATTATCACATTAATATGTTTTTACTAGTCATTGATTATGTTTGTTTTACTGTTCCAACAATAATTTAAGGTGGTTGATTTTTCTTAATATGAGAATCTCTGTTATAATTTGAGTTTAAAAAGCTAAATCATTTAATCTATTCATTTTTTACCATAGAAATGGATTATTGGACAGATACGTGAAAGTGTGCGTCCAATTCATCCATTATTACCGGAATTATTAGAAGCCCATGTTACACATTCATTTGGTTCCATTTCCAACAGTTCATTGTCAATGAATAATGATGTTCCTAGTATCACTCCAACCACTACTAATACTCCTTCAACAGCTTATATTAATTTATCATTAATTTCTGAACAAGAATTAATCAATGAATTTACAAATTCTAAATCATCTAGTTTTATTCAATTTTATGCTCCAGGCATTAATTTAAATTCAAAGATTCATCATCATCATTTGTATCATTCAACTAAAGAACATGATTTTACTCCACAATTATTATTTTTATATTATGCATTATTTGTTTTTGATTATCAATTCAATTTACGTTTATCAGCTAATCGACGTAAGTTGGATTAAATCATGCATTATTATGACTTTACTGTCGGTATCGATTGTTGTTGTGTTTTTTTTTATTGTTGATATTTTCATATTATCTACACAAAATATGATTTACATATGTATAGTGTATGTGAAACACTCATTTTATGACCATTTATAACCAAAGGACGAGTGTACCGTGCAGCAGTTCGCTCCGTCCTACTGTGTGGCTTTGAAACATGGCCGTTAAAGGTAGTCGGTCCTTACGAAAACCGGCCTGTTGATCTCGAAGTTGGGCGTCTACGAAGTCCTTCATTCTGTTTAACAATACCCTGTTGAAGACTTTGCCTGGTATTGAAAGAAGAGTGATGCCTCTGTAGTTCTCACACTTGCTGAGATCGCCTTTCTTTGGTATTTTGATCAGGTATCCTTCTTTCCAATCTGATAGTACTTGTTCTTCATCCCAAATCTTGTTGAAGAGGATGTGAAATATTTTCGCAGTTGCTTCTACATCTGATTTCATTGCCTCTGCTGGAATGTTGTCTGGTCCTACTGATTTGCCACTCTTGATTTGTCTGATGGCCATACTGATCTCCTCAATTGTAGGTGCGCCAACACCGATTGGGAGGTCCGTAGATGCTGCTTCGATGTTGGGTGGGTTGAGTGGAGCTGGTCGATTCAGGAGTTCCTGAAAGTGCTCTACCCACCTATTTCGCTGTTCTTCAGTGTTGCTGATTACTTTGCCTTCCTTGCTTTTCACTGGTCGTTCTGGTTTACGATAGTTTCCGGCGAGCTTCTTTGTTGTCTCGTACAATTGTCTCAAGTTTCCTTCTCCTGCAGCCTTTTCCGCCGTCATCGCTAGATCTTCCACATATTTTCGTTTGTCAGCTCTGATGCTCTTCTTCACTTCCCTGTTTGGTTCTGTGTATTCAGTTTGAGCCTTAATGTTCTTTGCTCTTGTTCGGCTGACATCGATTACTGCCTTGTTTCTCCTTTCTTCAATTTTTTCATGAGTACCAACAGACATCCATTCCTTGTGATGGTACTTCTTGTGACCCAGAACTTCGTGACATGTTGAAGTGATTGCCTCCTTGATCCCTTTCCAATTGTTCTCCAACGTTGCGTCCTCTCCATTGTGTAGATCCTGAAAGGCCTGGAACCTATTGGTGAGGGCTATCTTGAATTCATTGAGCTTTACGGTATCCCGAAGAAAGGCCGTACTAGACTTCTGTGATGTTGTCTGCCCCGTTTTCCAGTGTTTCTTTAGTTTCAGTTTCATTTTGGCGACCAACAAGTGGTGATCTGATGCTATATCAGCTCCGCTCTTGGTTCTCACATCCCCCATGGTCCTTCTGAATGTTTTGTTGATATAGATATGGTCAATTTGGTTTTGAGTAGTGTGGTCCGGTGAAATCCATGTGGCTTTGTGAATGCGTTTGTGCGGGAATATTGTGCGACCGATGACCAGTTTGTTGAAGGCACATAGGTTTGCGAATCTCTCACCGTTTTCGTTCCTTCCTCCCAGTCCATGTCGTCCCATGATGTCTTCATATCCAGTGTTGTCCATGCCAACCTTGGCATTCAGGTCTCCCATAAGAATCGTCAAATCGTTTGGTGAACATTTCTCGACGATTGACTGCAGCCTTTCGTAGAATTAATCTTTAACGTCGTCATTGTAGTCATTGGTAGGTGCATAACATTGAATGACGTTCATTGTAATGTCCTCTTTCTTTGTTTTCAAGGATGCTTTGATGATCCTTGGGCGATGAGATTCCCATCCTATCATTCAAAAGTTGAGTGTACATAGCGAATGAGTCGTATCATGGATTGTCGTACAAATTATTAATTGAGTACTTTGTTTTATTTTAATTTATTCACCTTAGTTCAACCACTATTGAAAGCACTGACAGACTGTTTCTTTCTTGTATGTGACTCTCTATATTGACAATAATCATATGGTTACAAATGAATAATCTTGATTCGTAATTCATGGAGTTTTTAAGTTAAATAGTGCTCAGTGGGACTCAAACATATGGAGTGTGAGGCATCCTCTTACTAATAGCATAAGACAATAGTTTTTCACTATCGCTAATCGATTGAAGTCAGATATGTTAACCGTTGGTTGCCGAAGCAGTGGGAGTTTATGCACTGATATTTGAAGCTTCTTGGTTCGTTTTCTAATGAGGTCACACGAATGCATTGCCGAAGAGTCCTACATGGGAGAGAAACAGATTTCCAGTACTCAGCAGTTTCCATAAATTCACTTATTTTCACTCGTTTTCTCTGTCTATTCTCTTTGCTTATTTATTTGTTTTTTTAATAATACAGATCGCTTACCTAATGAACCATCTTGTGTTTATTCCAATAAATTATGGGATATTATACCTATAACATACCTTTTACAATATGCTCGTTCCTATTTATCAGATTATCGCTCTCTATATCCGAAGTTACTACAGTAAGTTACTTATTGTCTATTAAACGTTTTTCCTCTTTCTTATCAATAATTCGATTTCACATGACTTACTGAAAGAAGTCAATGAGAAAAATGAAAAAAATGACTGATTCTTGACTAAACTCAGTCGACTTGTTAAGTCCATGAAGTCACTAACAAGTGGACTGAGTCATGTTGGTAGTTGCAGGCTACCTGGTTGGGGTCCGCGAGGCGGTACTAACGGATTGTTAGAGACCTTGAACGACATGACTCAAAATCGTTTGCAATGGCTCAGGTGCATCACTTCTTCGTGTTCTCTGAAATTCTTCTCTGTGCTAATACGGTATGACAACCTGAACTGACGTACCTATGTACGAAGTTCTGCGTTGTAATTGACTGACTGACTGAAACTCTCTTGATAGATGACAGTGTTATTGGTAGTTTCTTCAAATATGTCAAATTGTATCTATTGATTATTTTAGTAAAAATATTATGATTTCTAAGTTAAAGTAGCTATTTTCCTTCACATTATTCAATCTAAACAATATCAATTATTTGTTTTTGTCAATATGACTTTTTAACACTCAGTCACATTTACTCGTATGCACAATGAATAATATTTAAGTATGAAGATTCAAAATCTACACTTATTTACTATGGTTAGATTTAAACTTGAATTCTTGTGAAGTTGCAACTTTATAATATATATATATATCTTCAATTATGTACTTATCACAAATGATCTAGCTATGTGCACATTCTACTTTCCTATTTATTGTGTTATGTAGTTTTATAAATTCCTAGTTAATTTTATAAATGATTACTTTCATGTGAAATTGTTTTTTTTCTAAATTTAGAATTAATTTCCATTTTTCTTTAAACTATTTGGAAGCGTATTAGTATGGGCTTGAGCTAATACATAGCTGAGATAAAAGTGCACTAGTTTTTGCCTAGGATTTTTTGTTGTGTCAATTCTGTTTGTTTAAAGTAAACTCATGAAGAAATCATTTTGTTTATTATTCATTTAAATGACAAATGGGTTGTGGAAGTAGTAATGCTAAAACAGATAATGATTTCTGTGTTCAAGTTCTTCCTATTGATACGGTGGTGACTATGGGCGTCTCCTGTTAAGGTAAACCAATGCTTTCTAGCTTTCAATAGTTTGTTTAACCAAGATTTATCAACGATTTCAACAAATTCTTTACATTATGACTTATTGTTATTTTCTTTCTATAAAGATTTTTATCAACTATTTATTTTTTTTATCACTTTTGTTTTTCAACCAAAACGTTGTCGTGATATATTTCACTATATATATATATATATATATATATATATATATGTTTTTGTCTAGGTTAGTGACAAATCATTTTCCACAATTAACTATGGGTGAAATGATGATACAAGATGAATTATTACTCGATTCAATATGGCGATCTGAGCATGAACCTATTCTTGTTCCTTGTATGAATAAAGCCGAAATGAGTTCATCGTCATCGTCATCAGAGAATATAACAACTATTGTTACATCACGAATAATGACAAATCCAATGAATGTTATTTATCAACCATTGATTTCTCATCTATCGTTCAATGAAGAACAATTAAATCAAGGTTAAGATTTTTTTGTCATTGTTTTCCAATTTAATCTTGAATGTTGTTAAAGGTATTCAGTTATCTATCGTTTTGTCAGTTGATTATACTGTTCAAAAGGTACTTCCTTTTGAAGTAATTGAGAAGGAAACTAGGTTAGGAGTAGTCTTGAAAACTCAGCAGTATAATCGCATACCTCAAAGTACAATTTCTTGAAGTTAGTCAAGCATGGTCATTTTATGAGTAGTGCTAAGTGTGTTAATCCTGTTCTTTTAAAACCTCATCATCGAAGATGAAAATCCATGAAATTAGGTGAGGTTTGTTATTTTTAAGATGAACCCTTCCTGACCTCTTCCGTCCGTTCTCAAGTGTCAGGATTTCTAGGGATGTTGGTCGTGAGAAAGAAACGCCGTTCTACCACCGCACCCCTGTACAGTCACCACTATAATTTCGCGCTCAAGTCATAAGTGCCTGCTCTTTATCTTATTTATTCCCAATCGATCTGTCTAGTTTAATAAGACCAGTGTTCCAACCAGTATAGCTTAATCGAATCATTATAGTACTCAAACCTGATCACCACGTTCATGTTGTTGCTAGTTTTGTTTTTTCTAACTAGAATCTTTTGGTCTCCAATTGTATGATCTGGACTAATATATCCTTCATTCTGTCATTCACATAAAATAAATGTGCTGCAAAACTCAGTATAACATATGGTTAATATCTTGGGAGGAATTAAAATCATGCCCTCAAATCTATTTGATTAATTATTTTTTTTAGCATAATAATTATATTTATGATTATTGTTTATTGTTTTCTGCTCTTTTCTTGTGACATCTTAGTTGACATATACAATTCTAGTATAAGAATTATCGGCTGTTGATTCATTTAGCTTTCAGTTATTGTAGTGAGATAAGTTAAGTAGTTGTGTAATGAGAGTTCGCTTAATTAAAAAGCAGTTCAAATCAATAGCTGATATCAACTGGTCAACTAGTAGAACATGTATGATGTATGCTCAACCACTCCTCAACTCAGCGGATGATCTCTGCTGTTGTAGGTTAGAAGAAAGTTAAATGCAAACAAACTAATACTTATCATTTGTTCACAATGTTATTGAGTCTTAGTCTAAATCATGTTGTTTGGATCTGCGTGATTATCATAATCAGTGGATGGAGACATTAGGTAGCATGGTTCCAACTGTTTCACAATATTGTGAATGCATCTACTCTTTGTCTTTCTCATAAATTTTTAGTTTTAAATCATCTTATACTCTTTATTTCTCAAATTCACTTTTATTGAATCATATTATTTGTATCTAATCTTTTGTTATCATTGATACTGTTAATATTTCTGTTAATCTAGCATTCATTCACAGCGATTTCATCTACCTGTGCTGATATGATATGGCAACTCGAATCGATGCTTTTTTGATAAGTTCTGTGTTGCGTGTAACTGATTAACTGAACTATTGAAAATCACTGTTACGCACCTTTGGAGTGCTTCAAATTAGGATTAAATAATTGTCCATCATTTACATTAATAACTATTTAGTTGACATCAGTCCATGATATAGACACTGATTTCAAATTACTTGAAGTTCTTGTCAAATCAGTCACCAAATATAATTATAGCTGTTCACTTCAACATCGTAAATAAATGACCATATTTGGATTGACTAGTTGGCATTTATAAATTTTGAAATCATTTTATTCATTAATATACTAAGTGCCTAATCATCAGTAGAATTCAAGAGACCTATTTCATTCTCTTTGAGACTTCATACCTGTAATATTTGACTTTTATTTTAACCATAACATCGTTATTTTGTGTTTTCATAAACAATATTAGCATTTCAAAAAGTAATTTCCAATTTATCATTATCAATCAAAGAGCCGTCGATATGGAACAATTTGTTTGAAACATGTCCATTATGGAAGGATCTTATTTATATGATTAATCAATTGATACAATCGATTGAGGTATTCGGTTTAGATTGTTTATTGAATTTTGGTCCAATCTTAGCTGAACAATGTCCAAGATTATTATTACTACAAGGAAATGATGGATTTGTAGGCGTAAATCGTAAATTTGTACATTCGGTAGAATTATTATGGAGACGTTTACATCTGATTATGCCAAGACGGTAGGTGGAAATATTTGTTTTATTTTGAAGATGTTTCATCCTTATATATAATTTGATCGAATGGAATCGATTGTAGTATGATTCTAAATTGATCTAAATATAATTGTCAATCAGTTACTTATTTTTCTCTTCCGGTACAAAATTCAGTGTAGTTTCTTAATTTATTCGTAACTCATATTAACTTTTTTGACGTTTCTTCAGTACTGATAATTTAGTGAGATAATCAATTAGAATTTATATCAATCAACCAAACGAAACGTCTTTTTCTAATTAAATGAAGAACGGAAAAGTGAATCAGTAATCAGTCAGTTACGAAGTAGAACTTTGTACGTACATACATCAGTTCCGGTTCCCATACCACATTAGCACAGAGACGCAATTGTCACTTCGAATCCCATAGTATTAGAGGTGGTATAAGTATTAGCAGTAACTTGAGAGATTAGGGTTCGAGGATATTATTCAAGAAGTAGAATCTAGTGAAATAAACCTAAAAAGAGAAAGATAAAGGTGATGAGGAGTTCAGAATATTGAAGTTTGAGAGAACACAAAGAATGAATGCACTTGCGCCATTGCAAACTATTTTGAGCCATGTCGTTCAAGGTCTTTAACCATCGATTACTATCGTCTCGGGGACCCCAACCAGGTAGTCTACATCTATCAACATGATTCAGTCCATTTGTCAGTGACTTCATGGGTTTGTGCTATGTTTTGGTTTGGCCGCCCCTAGCTTTTTTCCAACCCATTCCTACACCACAAACATCGTTCTTCGAGACAGTTGATGGCGTTTCTCATTCGTATATTAGGACGAAGGGAACTGCTGTGCATTACACTCGTCCCTTAGTTAGCAGACGGATATCTCGCCCTCACCACAAGTGACGCAGGTTTGCAAAAGCCAGTCGAAACAGCCTTCTGTATCCGTGCTGCGATTTCGTCAGTAACCAGGTCAATAGCACTGATGAGACTCTCGAAATAAGCGAAGCGGTCGACAGGCTCAACTACTTCACTTCTTATCACTAGTTCAGGTGCAGACGCAAGTCAATCTTGAAGCAACAGTTTGGGTTTCGACGGGGAAAACCGCACCTCGAACATGCTTGCATTGTTGCTTAGGGTGGTCAGAAGACTCTGCATTTTGTCAGTGTTCTCACCGAATAGGACTATGTCATCAGCATATTCTAAGTCGGCAAGCGTGTCTCCTGGTAGAAGGTCCACCCGTGAAAAGTCAGACGAAGATAATGGTAACTCCAAAAGCATGTCTCCGACAAAGTTGGACAAGAATGGAGAGAGTGGTCAGCCTTGATGGACACCACTTGAAGTAATCAATCCCGATGACAGTTCGCGCTAAGCTCTTACTCGACCGGTGGTGTTCGAGTAGAGAGCTTGTATAATGTTAATGTACCTCTCTGGTACATCGTTTAATGTCAGACACCGCCACAGAACCTCACGATCAACAGGGTCGAGTGCCGCTTTAAGGTCGAGAAATACTACTATTGTTGGGCGTCTGAACGTGTGTCTATGTTCTAGGACTTGACATAGTGTGAATATGTGGTCCAGTTTCGAAACCAGCCTTGTTTTCTCTAATCTGCTCTTCACTAGCTCTACTTAGGTGTCTAGGTATTATTGAGGCCAATATTTTAGATACTATATTAGTTAGACTGATTCCCTGGTGATTGTGACAAGAAGACTTTTGTCCTTTCTTATAAATTGGGACAATCAGGGATTGAGACTAGTTGGATGGTATTATGCCCAGTTCCCTAATTCAGCGCAAGAGCTCAGTTAATGTTACTGCTCAGACTGGACCATCACCCTGTTAGGCCCTGCTGCTCTTCCTTGCTTCAGATTTCCTATAGCTTTTTCAACTTCATCAACAGTCGGAGGAAATAAATTGATTTACCGTTCTGGTTGACTGGAGATTGTGGGCCAGTGAAGTGTGGCTGAAGGCCACCTGAAGTGCCCTGCCCATCGATCCAATCTCCTGGGTTGAGAATGAATGACACAGCCATCCTTTTCTGAGATAGTTTCGCTAATAGATGGATCTCTAAGACCAGTTTCCTTGATTAGAAGAAACAGTTGTCTACTGTTGCCCATCGCTACTGCCTTTTCCATCGCTTTTGCTTTCGCCACCCACCACTTTTCGCGATTATTGCGTAGGCACTCTATCGGCCTGCGTTTAAGCTGACTTTCCTCTTCGTCATGTTCAGAGCCAGGTGGAATGAAATTTCGAGGATCGATCAGATCAGTCGATGCTCCTGAGATCCACAGCTTCTTCCTAACCTTATAGTTTACCTTACTAGTAGATATCACTACTGTTTACACAGCCTTTTTGATATCATTCCAAGCTGCTTCTGGATGGGAATCGCCTAACTGTCTTTCTAATTGTTCCTGAAGTATATTCTTCGCCTTATTATCATTAAGTTAAACCCTAAGAGGCTTCCTTACGGTGTCTTTCCTACGCCCAGTAAGCTTCAAACAAATACGCGCTCGCACTAGCGCATGATCTGAATCTAAACATGTGCACCAGAACGAGCGACAGTCCTCTGTCGAACCCCTCCATCGGTGGCTGATGGCGATGTGATCTATGGTTCAATATCTACTGACGGGTGTCGACACATATATTATGGTATACTCAAACTGTACCTACTTGAACGCACAACGTTGTCTAGTATCATAGTAAGTTGGACAAGAGATAGGGTATGCCAACCGAAGTATCAGTTCATGAATCTACTGATTGCTGAACTGACGCTTGTAACTATTTACATGCTACATAGCTGAGGCCCGCTCGATTGTCATAACTATTGATTCAAGAAGTTGGACAGTATGGTTCAAAATCCGTTGCACTGGCACATATATACTCACTCTTTAGGTGCATGTTAAGTTTCAAAACTACATTATGCTTTCTATTTCGCAACCTATTTTTTTCTCCAATCATATTGACCTTATTTATTTTCTATTGCCTTAGATATTGTTACTACTTCTATTATTTTGACATTTGTCTTGATATCTTCATCTCGTTATCCTGGATTTTTTCACTTCTCGCGTGACTCTTTTTTTCTTGTAACCACTAGTTGATAAAAACAGCTTATTTATTACCAAAGATAAAATGTTTGATATTCACTGCTATATTTAATAACTAATATATATATATGCATATATGTACTTACATTGACTTGATTTATATAGTCGAATAGACAACCAATTCATATGCTTATTTGTTTACCAATAACATTAATAATCATAAATAATAAATAGAATAAAGTGATATTGGTGATTGTTGTTGTTCTTATAGGAAGAGAAAACGCTCAAATTATATTATGTTTTGTGTGTTTTTGTTTCACGCCTCATTATTTCCTCCTTTTATTAATATATATATATATATATATATATATATATATTTTTTTTTTTCTCTGTACGAAAGAGAGGGAGAGAGAGAGTGTGTGTAGACACTCGAGACACTGACAAATGAGTTAACGTTTGTCGTTGTTGTTGTTGTTGTTATAATTGTTTCAGCTTTTCCTATTTACTTTACGCTTTTATTAAATTCATTTTGTCTATTCATCGCTAACTACAATAACAACTGCTACCATCCACATTATAGAATACTCCACTTAACATTTCATCATGAACAATTTTCGTTTTATTAGTCATCTAATTTCGATAATGAAAATAAACAGTTTCACAAGTTTTTAAATTAAATATTCTATTTTTTTAGTTGGGATTTTCCTATTATTCATGAATGAGTATGATCTTGCCTAGTTGATGTGTTAATCACTATCCAATATTCATTTGTATTTAACTCAACTTGTTTGGTTGTGGTTGTATTCTCAGAACTGAGTGATGCTTATTGGTCAAGTTTTCGTTGTCTTTTTCTGAAGGACAACAATAGCGTTAGCAGCACAAACTTCAGATAGAAAGTGAGGCGTTAGAATTCCTTCATAAGTGGCTGACTTTCACCTTGTTCTGTTTATCGTGCAGTTGACTCACTGTCGTTAACATTTATCCTGTTAATGTTTTCACGTTGATTTCGACTGCTAAAGACTTCTATCTGAACTATGGGCTGGTTACGTTATCTTAAAAGATCCAGATAATTTCACAATTAAACGTGACTCAGCTGGGAGAACACAATTTTGACAAAATCATCCATCTTAGCTACAATTCTTTCCCACTATCACAAAACCGTTCCATTGTTATCTTTGTTTATTTCGTTTCAAGGATGATTGCTTAAATCTTGTATAACTCTCAGTAACCAGGTAGTACGGGTTTACATCCATAGCTGGCCTTTAGTATTTTGCTTGTGTAATTAAATCTTAAATTTAGTTTTTTTTCGAAAACCAAGTTGTTGAACCAACAGGCTATTTATTGTTCAATATAATTAAAATGACATAACTGCCAAATTTGTTACAAACACTTTGAAATCTCCTCTTATTGCTACATGACATCTACAACCGTCTGCACTATGAATAAATTGAGAGTTTGGTAGGGTTTTCGCCTATTATTATTTGATATTAGTTTTTATATATTAATGTAGAACAATCACTGAATAATGAATAACGCATCTTATTTCTGTTTCCTACAAAAACAAAATGTTACTCAACGTATGGCTCAAGGCTGATCACACAAGGTCGTGCTTAGTCATGTAATTGTACTGATTAAAATCAGTTGGATCCATTAGTGCGTGGACCTAGTGACTTGGAGATCTAAGTAATCATGAAGATTAATAAATATGCACAACAATAGGTTGACGTCTTAAATGAAAGTATCGTTCGGTTTTGAAAATAAGATCTAACACTTAAGTCACAGTATTTTACAGTCCTAAAATAGCTGTTCCAGCATTTTCTATTATCTTTTTGCTTATATATACATTAATTGAAGTTGAGTAATAGCTAGTAGTAGATTTCAACATGCAAATTTCGTCCTTTTCGAAACTGAATTCACCTGTATATCAGTGTTGATATTCAGAGTGAGGCTGAAGTTCAGTACCTTTCTCTTGAGACTCAACGCGTTATCCGTTGCAAAAATTACTAGCTAGCTGGGCTCAGTAGCTCAGCAAGCCACTGATTGGCATTGATTGAGAAAGTAATTAGGTTCGACACTCAGTGTTATAATTAATAATGGAATGAAAGTATGTCTATCGTGAATCTTGGATTACACTCTTATGCTCTGTCCAACTCTAACTGAAAGTTGTGACTATTTGCTAACATTTAGAAAAACCACTTATGATACGTACGTGTGCCAATAAGAACTGATAACTTGTACTCCTAAATATAAACAACAGGGAAATACAAGCTCATACGCAGAGATTACATACGTATTTTCATTGAGTGAAATTATCTTTCTGTATTTATTCATTGTTTCCTTCTTTTATTTACTGTTCTAGATTGGAATTAATCACCATGAATGGAATACGATCGTCTAATAATGATTCTCTGACAGCGAACACATCTATCATGAAAACAAGTACAAGTACTACAAATCCCTTTGATTTATTCATTGAAGCTATTAGTCTCATCAATAGTAAACAAAAAAATTTGTGCAGTTTAGATTTATTTACAGATCCAGTTGAAAATGTTATGGGTGAAGTGGATAGAAAAGTTTTTCGGTAGGTTAAAATGTTATAAATACGTAAACTGATAGATTATTTGTTTGATCGTTTGTTTTTTGAGGAAATTTTCTCGAACTCGATATTTTCAGATATGAAATTCCATTATATTTAATTGTGTATAATTTTCTGTAGATTGTTTCTTTTTACCATATGATGTTACGTGTAAACCTTTAATTTAATCATTCATAAAATTTTTAATTATTGAAATGATGAATCGATCATAGTTAGACAACTAATAGAAACCTGAAAGTACTAGACGGCCGATTCGTCCTAGCATTGGAATCATCAACAGTATGCTTCCAAAAGAACCCTAGGTTCGTGGGAATCGGACCTAGGATTCTTGGTCTTGCACACAAACACTTAATCTCTGATAGACTACTAAGCCGGCATTTAATAATGTTAGTATCTAACTTTAATCAATAGAAGGTATTGCGCAACCTTCTAATTTCTCTTTGGTAGGTAACTGCCTAAACTCGACAGGGTTGAGCTCCACTGGTTCATTAACTAAACTGAATGTAAGTAGCTTTTTCAACCGTTTATTTAATCAGTTATTTACTGATTGTTCATTTCCGTTACACATGATTCTAAAAACGTTTTTTAAATATGTTGATAGTGTTGCTTTCAGAAATTAATTACTTTTTGGTTGTCAATTTTTTTATGAATAAGTTTGAAAAAATGATTCTCTGTTGAAATATTTCGATACGAAGAAAATATCAATATGTAACAGTTATGGTACCAAAACGGTTTAATGAATAATGGTCTATACTGCGTGTAACTTTGTAGTTGTACAGCATGGCTGTTTAATGTCGATTACCGAAGATTTTCCTTGATATTTATCTTCGAACAAATTGAGTTCATTAAGTCAACAGTGTTACAGTTAAGGGAAAGTTATATGCAAGATCTGAAAACCGACGTTATATGAAACGGTTACCTAGTGGTTTAAGCGTTTGACTATCAGCCAATAAACCAATGAATCGAACAGCACTCCTTCCTTTATACTTTGGGCGCTCTCGCATTTAGGGTATGGTTCATACTAGTGTAGTGTATTTAATTTTGGGTTGATATATCTGTTTACTTTGAGTTGATCGTCATGTTAACGTCTTGGTAGTTTTTGATTAGTTGATGTCAGTTGGTAATGTTGTATCTGTAACTGTTGACTAATATCACGTCATAAATCCAAACACCAATTAGAATTACGTTTAGCATCAGAAACCCTGTATCAGCTCTATATCCTTATTAGTTCATAACTCTATTGCTTTTTTTCTTTCTACCCTGCCTATATATTCAAGCCTCCACAAAATTAGCTACATTACATGCAGATATGGTTCATTTACTAACATATCAGACCATATCACATCACACCCGACCGAAGCTGCTACCTTGACGTGGTGGTTGGGCTTGCCTATCGTGATGACCCAACCGAGCTATACTGGCTGGAACATATGTTCCTGCAGGTCCTACCATGCCAGGCAGGTCGATTGGAGAACGATGAGACTAAAAGCAGCTACCCAAGGTCTGAGGGCGAAGTCGTACTGCTGACTGTAAAGGGGTGTGACAGCAGTAAGGTGTTTCCCTCGGACAACCAGTATTTGCAGCGATGCTGCCTTCTCACAAGGAAGGAAGGGTTAGAAATAGTCGACCCTAGAAATGTCACACCTCCCCTACCTCATGGATTTCCTTGGGTAAGGGTGCCCACTAAGGGCCTTTAAGAACGGAGCTAATCCTCAAAAAACATTTCATAAAAATGCCGTGCGTGACCGGCCTCAAGCAGTTGTCCCTTGGGCTCTGCGGTCACGCACCAACACTAATCCATCTTCCTTTTCAGGTCCCTCAAGAAACAACCTTTCACGGTGTGGGCAGCCGGGAATTGACAACCGCCCTCAAACCCGTAACAGCATGCGAGACCAAATTGTTCAAAATCAAATCCTTCCTACACCCCCTAATGTCTCTCTTATCTCTATGACCAACTCTACTCACACTCCCTTTTCTCACTGCACCGCTAATGCAGACGAAGCGAGATCACGAAATGTCGTTCCTGGTCTCTTGAAACCCTGTTCTAAACTACATGTTGGAGCTTTTAATGTACGGACATTGTGTCAAATAGCGCAACAGGCATCATTAACTAGGACTTTAGAAACTCGAGCCATCGATGTATGCTGCGTCTCGGAAACGCGCATACAGTATCCTAGTAAAATGATTAATCTGATTTCACCTTGTCAAAATAAAGAAGCAGCTCGATATACTCTTCGTGTATCCGGTAGCCCTGATGCTGCTTCCAGGGGTCTTGCTGGCGTAGGCATAGCGTTGAGTCCTAGGGCAGAATTATCTCTCCTAGACTGGATCCCAGTAGATAGTCGTTTGTGCGCTGTCCGACTAAACGGGACAGTAAGGACTCGGAAAGATAGGGACACTCGCCGTTGCCTCTTCGTCATATCTGCCTATGCCCCCACTGACTGCAGTGCAGACGAGGTTAAAGATGAGTTTTACAGAAAGCTTTCGGACCTCCTCCAAAAAGCTAGGCGCTGTGATATAGTAATAATGCCTGGTGACTTTAATGCTCAAGTAGGTAGACTAGGTGAAAAGGAAAGACATCTTGGTGGATGTTATGGTGTAGCGACTGAGAGAACAGACAATGGCGGCCGTCTGTTGCAACTATGCTCAGATAACCGCCTATTCTTAGCGAACACCAGCTTTAGGCATAAGGAAAAGCATCTGTTGACGTGGCGACCCCCGAAGTCGTCTCAACGTTGGACTCAACTAGATCACATCGCCATCAGCCACCGACGGAGGGGTTCGACAGAGGACTGTCGCTCGTTCTGGGGCACATGTTTGGATTCAGATCATGCTCTAGTGCGAGCGCGTATCTGTTTAAGGCTTACTGGACGTAGGAAAGACCGTAAGAAAGCCTCTTAAGGTTTTACTTAATGATAATCAAACCAAGAAAATATTTCAGGAGCAACTAGAAAGAGAGTTGGCAATCATGCAAGCGATTCCCATCCAGAAGCAGGTTGGTATGATATCAAAAAGGCTGTGGAAACAGCAGTGATATCTGCTAGTAAGGTAAACCACAAGGCTAGGATGAAGCAGTGGATTTCAGTCGCATCCACCGAACTGATGGATGCTCGAAAACGCATCCCACCTGACTCTGAGCATGATAAAGAGCGTAGTCAGCTTAGGCGCAGACTTATAAAAAGTCTGCGTAACGACCGCGAACAGTGGTGGGTGGCGAAAGCAAAAGCGATGGAAAAGGCAGCGGCGATAGGCAACACTAGACATCTCCATCAAGAGTGATTTGGTTGGTGCATGTTGTGTTGCATCGGAGAATTTCGCTTTTTCCTTTATGTATGTTGAGACTTGGTGCTGCAGAGGCTGCTGCTACTACACTGGTCGTCTTCTCTTGCATTTGTTGTTGCGTGTGCGATAGAAGAGCCAGGTCATCTGCGAAGTCCAGATCGTCCAGCTGCGTCCTAACTGTCCAGTTGATACCGTGCTTGACTCCAGATGTCGACGTCTTCATAATCCAGTCGATGACCAGGAGAAAGAGGAAGAGTGAGAGTAAATTACCTTGACTGACACCGGTCTTCACCTCGAAAGAGTCTGTTACCTATCCTCCGCGTACGATTTTGCAGTTGAATCCATCATAAGAATTCCGTATGATGTTGACTATTTTCTCAGGCACACCGTAGTGTCGAAGAAGCCTCCACAGTGTTTTCCTATCCACACTATCAAATGCTTTCTCGTAGTCGATGAAGTTGATGTAGAGTGGTGAGTTCCATTCAGTTGATTGTTCCACAATGATCCGTAATGTAGCAATTTGGTCAGTACACGATCGATCCTTACGAAATCCGGCCTGTTGATCTCGAAGTTGGTCGTCTACGAAGTCCTTCATTCTGTTTAACAAAACCCTGTTGAAGACTTTGCCTAGTATTGAAAGAAGAGTGATGCCTCTGTAGTTCTCACACTTGCTGAGATCGCCTTTCTTTGGTATTTTGATCAGGTATCCTTCTTTCCAATCTGATAGTACTTGTTCTTCATCCCAAATCTCTTTGAGGAGGATGTGAAATATTTTCGCAGTTGCTTCTACATCTGATTTCATTGCCTCTGCTGGAATGTTGTCTGGTCCTACTGATTTGCCACTCTTGATTTGTCTGATGGCCATACTGATCTCCTCAATTGTAGGTGCGCCAACACCGATTGGGAGGTCCGTAGATGCTGCTTCGATGTTGGGTGGGTTGAGTGGAGCTGGTCGATTCAGGAGTTCCTGAAAGTGCTCTACCCACCTATTTCGCTGTTCTTCAGTGTTGCTGATTACTTTGCCTTCCTTGCTTTTCATTGGTCGTTCTGGTTTACGATAGTTCCCGGCGAGCTATTTTTGTTGTTTCGTACAATTGTCTCAAGTTTCCTTCTCCTGCAGCCTTTTCCGCCGTCATCGCTAGATCTTCCACATATTTTCGTTTGTCAGCTCTGATGCTCTTCTTCACTTCCCTGTTTGGTTCTGTGTATTCAGTTTGAGCCTTAATGTTCTCTGCTCTTGTTCGGCTGACATCGATTACTGCCTTGTTTCTCCTTTCTTCAATTTTTTCATGAGTACCAACAGACATCCATTCCTTGTGATGGTACTTCTTGTGACCCAGAACTTCGTGACATGTTGAAGTGATTGCCTCCTTGATCCCTTTCCACTTGTTCTCCAACGTTGCGTCCTCTCCATTGTGTAGATCCTGAAAGGCCTGGAACCTATTGGTGAGGGCTATCTTGAATTCATTGAGTTTTACGGTATCCCGAAGAAATTTAAAACAGTTAGTCCCTTTTATAAATTTTGATAGAGCAGTGAGAAGACGTAATTGATCTGAAAAATGTGATGTATTTGCGCTATACATTTCGAACAATCTGGTCACACATATTTACTTGTCAAGGCATTTTATATGAAGATGAATAAAAGGTCAATTAAATAAAAGTTCAAATAGACATAGGGTGATAATTGTAAATAAAGGAGAGAG